TGCTCTCCTTCAACTCTTTAGCCTGTCCTATTCATTATAACTTCTTTCATCCTTTTCCATCCATCTATCATTTTAGTGCAGAGTTTTTGAAGCTTGCTATCTATAAAAATCACCACTCTCTTTCTATCCCTACATCCAGCTCTCTCACCTTTCCTGAAAGTTGGGTCCTATTTGCCGCTACCTCTTTCATCATCCCTCTCTTCCTCCCCGGCTCGCTCCCTCCCTCCCTCCCTCTCTCTTAGAGAAGTTATTTGAAGTTTATTTGGGTTTGTTTATCAAACATTTCTCTTCTTACCCTCCCTCATTCCCTGCCAGTCCACTTCTCCACTTATTCCCTCTCTACCCTGCGGTACGAAAGTTGTTTCACTTGCAGACCATATGTATAGCTCCCTCTTTCTGAGATCACATACGGGCAAACGTTGCGGTCGATGCTTATTTCTCTCCTCAGATGAAAGGATGCAGAAAAAAAAATCACAAATATCTGACCAAAACAAACTAGGCTAGACAGTCAACACCACCCCACATAATGGGACTGTGGGTGTGTGTGGGTGTGTGTGTGTGTGTGTGTGTGTGTGTGTGTGTGTGTGTGAGAGGGGCATGAAGCATAAAGTTTGAAGGGAGGCTGAGAGGCAAGCATATATGCACACAAACACGCGCATATAGTCACACAGATAGAAACCCTGTCGGATGTCCATCTCACACTTCAGAATTTATTTTATTTTTTCTCTGCTTTATTTATGCAGCAAATCCCCCTTTCAAATCCAGCTCACACCCGTTCGTCTGACTGACCGGCTGCCCTCTGTTTCCTTTCAAAGTGTAGAATTTCATAGACCTTGAGCAAAAATGGAAGATCGGGTGAGAGGGAGAAAGAAGGAACACAGCTAAGGTAATAACCTGATTTCGCCTCAGTTGGTTTTGATTTAAGAAAGGAAGAGTGTGTCAGAAAAGCAGCGGGCGCTCTCCTGTCTCGATTTCATGCCAGATTTTTTGAAGAGAGAGGCGAGAGAGGGATGGAGGCACAGACTGAAAGGAGAGACAAACTGAACAAAGAGAGATAGAGACAGTGAATCACACCCCATGCCAATGAAATGAAGTGAACTGACACAAAGAGACAGAGATACCATTGAGAAAATGAGCGCGCTACAGAGGGAGAGAGGGGAAGGGAGATGGAGAAGGACGAGTGGGAGGGTATTACCAATGAATGAATTTTTAATAGCTCTCAGATCAGCCATACCAGGAGCACAAACACAAATAAATACCTCGCCTCCATAATTTCAACCTCTTTTGATAATTTTTTTTTTTTTTTTTTCTACCGGCATGATTCTTAATCAGTCAGCAAACATGACAGTGTACCTGACACCAGATAGCAAGGGAGACACCCTGACAACAAGACGGGCAGGGACAGAGAGGCTTCTGGGTAAACACAGCCTTGCATGCCACTCACACCACACACACACAGCCAGTTGATTACCCCAGGTGTCTGTATTCACACATGAGGAGCATTTGAATTTTAAACTCCTCCAAAAACATGTGTCAGCCCTCACCCATCTGTCTGTCACCCCGCAATGCCCTGACAATAGCACAAGCACAAATTAATGTAAAGCTGGAAGAATGTGCCAATTTACCCCAATTTCCTGCTTACAGCATCAGACTTTTCTTTCAAATGTGTATTTTTTTAGCATAATACATGAGGCGTGCCATTTTCCATGCCAAAAGCATCTCCATATCAACGAGGATGTCCCAATTTGCCGATCCTGAAGCACATCCCAATTTAGTGCTTAAAACATTACAATTTTAGCAGCTATATTCAAATGTACACCTCTGCATGAGGGAAAAAAAAAAAAAAGGCTACTCTAGTGCATTTTGCCCCTCACATTTTCTTGCAGTGCTGTTGCTTGTTAGCATGTATAGTCAGGAAAAAAAGAACATTTAAAAATAGTTGTCATTCCAGCAAAGATATTGTAGTTTTATAACAATATCTACGTTTATTATTTGTGTCAAGCTGGGAATTTCTCAGTCTGCAATTTTAACTGGTTTTATCCTGTCTTCATTTTACCTAAAGATGAATTTGTCCATTTGCTTTCTATCAAAGTTGCACCTGAAGTGAGCAAGTCTGTTGTAGCTTGGTCAAGCAGCAAGGAGCATGTTGATAATACCTTTGTTATGTACAGTGGGTATAGCAGAGGTTTGTTCAGCTTTGGTTAACTATAATACACATGAAAGCAGGTTAAAAAAAAAAAAAGAAAGAGACAGATTCAGCCTTGACTTCATGGCAGTGCCAGTCTCTCATTATTATAAGTATTAACTGACTAACAATAATATTCAATGTTAATCAAGTGTCAACCTTACCCTTACTTTTCTTAAGCAAAGAAATTTCTCCCTTGTCTGTTATGCTTTTGTAACAGTTATAACTGGCTCAGAAATCCGTGTAGTAATATCTTGTATAATAATAACAATATCAGCATAGCATGATGCATGCAGCTTATTAAAAAAAACTGAATAAAAAGCTGTAAACAGGGCTTTCAATGTGGTGATGGTAATTGCTTCCTGTGAGGCTGGTAGCTGTCAACAAGACAACTACAGGCATAATACTAAAAGAAATAATGATGAAATAAATAATGATGCCCATATATATAAAAGAGTGGGATGTCAAGAAGAAGAAAAAGTCCTCTAAAAATCCAAAATTACCATTTATAATTTCTTAAAGTTGAATTTACTTTTCATGCCTTATATTTGTTTGTGCTGCGCAGTAATTACATTGATGGAGGTTGTTATTCACAGGTTCGCCTTTGGAAGCAGTAACTCAGCAGTTGCCTTGTTTTAAAGCAAACCCAGGAAAGTCAGAGTCAGAGATACGCAGTTGTATGGAAAATCTATCATATGTACACATTGATTTTATTTCATGCAAACTTAAAGATAAAGCAAATAAGCATTCTGTGCAGCTGTGTAAGATTTGGATTTGTTTGCTTAGCATCCAGAGGATGAATGTAAGCTTGTAGCCTACGTGGAATTCAGGAGTGGTGGTCTATTTGAACAAAATGAGAAAGGTGTGAAGCCAAACGCAGAATGATACAGGTGTTGTCATTTTTTGCCAGTGATGGAATCCAAATCATTTCCAAACCTGCACAGAGGGGTAAAATAATCAATATTCAGATCCTTCTGTGTTGTTTAAGACGTCTGCTGAGTTTTCAATTTTATTTGTGACGCAAAGGATTGATTTAAATTCCAACCAGCAGTGTCAAAAATGCTATCCCAGCTTTGAAGGGCAAGTTTTAATAAGGTTCTATTAAGTAAAATGGATCAGCGACCTCTGAGATTTTAGGGTTTGGTTGTTTCTCTGTTGTATTCTCTTTCCCAGGGAGATGAAATCATAAAGCACCACACTGGCCTTTTTGCAAAATGTGATTAATCCAAGTTGATTTAATTAACATATAATTCTTCTTTTTTTTCCCCTTAATTCAGCTCCTGCTATACTTTGTAACACAAAGAAGCAGATGTAATCAGAACAGCTGTCACGTTTCTGGTAGGATGAGGAAAGAGAAGAAAGAGACAAGAAAAGAATGACTGTAGGAAAAATACAGTGTTATTCTGTAAGCCTGCTTTTGTTTACCCTTGTTTATGCTTAAATCCATGGTTTTATTGTTGCCTTTAAGAATGGTAAACAGCTCCCCTTTCCACTCCCTCCTTCTATCCAGTCATCCATCCATTCATCAAGCTTTCTTCACTCTGCTGCAAATGTTCTTTGGGCCAGACTCTTGTTTTTTTTTTGTTTTTTTTTTCTGCCTGTCAGTTGGCCTCTTCCCTTCCTTTCTCTCTCTGTTTTGACCATGTTTATGTAGCACACAATTGTGTCCGCTTGTGTGTGCCTGTGCACACATACTATTTCCAGGGGATTAAGTGCATAGCAAAAGGCAAATAATATTGTCATTTGGCTATAAAGGATCTATGTGCAAGTTTTGCTATTGCTATGTATCCAACATTAGCATTAACAGCTGTTTACTTGCCAGTATTGCCAAGAGCTACAGCAATCATTGTGTTTACAAGACAAGAGGTAATACACCCTCTGAGCACTGCTACTTCTGCAGAGCAGACTGGACGCTACAGTGACTCGGTATTGGAAAGTGACAAGACAGCCAACCGGGCCTGGGCTAGCTGGTTAGCAAGTGTACTTCAGTAGAAGAAAAGAAGTGATAGAAATGGAAGCAAAGCTAAAGGGTTGCTTTCCACTGCTGGAGACAGCTCCCTTGCAGGTAAATGAATGAAGTTTGATTAACTATTTTTAAGTACAAATAGTTATTTTAACTACTTCCATGCTGGTTCTAACAACATTTGTGTAAGTCTTCATTTCGATGTAGCAGCAGTCATATGATAGTAACAGGGCTAGGAAATTAACATCATGATGTACTAAATATTGGGTATTTGAGGGGCTAGTCTGCCATATTTGTTTACTTGAGTTAGGAATGTTCATGAGTGATAATTTGTGGCTGTACTGTAGTACTTTTAATTCTAACTGTAGGTTTCATAGTCTTATAAAGCTGTGTGCTCATCAAAATTAAAACTGACACAGACACACACATGGAGAGTCCGTGTCATTGCTGCACAGGCAGTAGCTGAAATGTACAGTTGTAACATATTTAACAATATCATATAGAAGCAGTGGTATTCTTTCCTGCACCTATTCTTATTATCGAGGGCTCTTACAATGACTCAAATTAAAACTCCTATTAATCCGACAGTGTAATCCCTCCATTGCATGGAGCAGTCTTTTCAGCTTGAGTGTGGATTAGAGAACAGTGAGACCCTGTGTTGGTGGTCACTGGTGTATAACACCTCATAAAGATAATATGCAGGGTCTGTGTGTGCGCGTGTGTGTTTCCTGCTGTGCTGGTGGTCAGCATTGTATAGCACAGAGTGTGTGTGTGTGTGTGTGAGAGAGAGTGTGTGTTCTGGGGTATGGTGTACATGTGGATAATGTGCTTCTTTTCTTCCTTTGTGGTTACCTGGTGAAGGGGAAAATCCCTGTGAGGTGGTCTTCTCGCAATGTGGACTACAAAGAAGGGGGCCTGTAACAGAGGAAACAGTGAATTAATAAAATAAGCCCCCTGAGTCGAACACTCTTTCTAGTCAGAGGGCTCAGAAATCGCATGGAGGTTAGAGTTGGGATGGAATAAACAGACGTGGGGACAAAATGTCAGTATTTAGTAAAACTTGATGCATGCTGACCATATTTCATATGTCATCCCTGAGCGAATCAGTAACTATAGACAACCTATCTCACATTTTGTCTCTTTGCCACTCACATACTCATTTATTCACAGGCCTTATTGAGATGAGCACCTTAAATAAGCTTCTTCTCCACATTATCTTTTTCATTCTAAAAACAATAACTCAAAATCAGGCTTTTTCTTTCAAACTAATTCAGGTTACAGAACACTTTTAGTCATTCACCCTCCCTCTTCATCCCCTCTCCAGCAACTCATCATGTTGCTCATACTGCATTCCTTATTTGTATGTACAGTATCTCTAAGTATCTATAAAATCCTAATTCCAACCCTCATAGTGACAGGGTGAGCAAATGCACCTCTTGACCCCGCTGCATCTCATTCCCTGAGATCATTTGCTAAACACAAATTGGAACTTGTGGGCAAAAATGCAGATGGCGAATGGGAAATTTAAACAGTAATAATAAAAAACATTTATATCCCTCTGCTGCTGTATGGGAAAATCTATACCGCACAGCCTTCGTATAATCATGAAAAGATATTGGTCAGAGATGCACGGCTGCACAGCCCTCACCGGAGCTTGGAATGAATGTATTCATCACGCACTGTTGTTGAATCCCAAATGGGGACAATCTGAAAAGGTGGTTCTAAACATAAAAACAGTTTATCTTCATTTGAAGCGACGATGCATAGTGATGTTTGTGTGAGTGTGTATGTGGCCATGAATCTATAAAGAGATGTACAATATGTACTCATGGCTGACTTTTATTGCCATGAAAACGAGACCCACTAGTCTACAGTGGCAAACCAGCAAATATTGTTCCATGGGCTTATAACTTAGTGAAGCACCAAATAATGTGCCAAGTAATATGCTTTTAAAAGTTAATACTATGCACATTTTTATTACTTTATTGGTACTATTCTGATGATGAGGTGGTTTTTGTTGATAGACAAAACTACAGTTATTCAACTCTTTGTGCTCTGGGAAAAAAACTAAATTAAATGACTTTTTAATTTAGAAATGTAACATTTTGCCGATATTAAAGGAGCTATTTGTAAGTTTTGCTATTGCTTCATAGCTAATGTTAGCATTAAGACCTGTTTACTTACCAGTCTTTGCACAAGCTTCAGCCATTGTTACAAAACAAGAGGTTCTAATGCGCCCTCTCACTTCTTCAAGGAAGACTGGACGCTGCAGTGACTCGGTATCAAAAAGTGTGACAGTCTGACCAGGCTGAGGGTAGCTGGTTAGCGTGCTAACTGCAGTACAAGAAAAGAAGTGATAGAAATAGAAGCAAAACAAGAGGGTCGCTTTCCACAGCCGGAGGCAGCTCTTGACAAGTAAAGGAATTAAGTTTGATGATGAACTCGCAACATTTCTTCTCAACTGGTAAACAAACAGCTGTTAATGATGGCTATGTAGCATCAGCAAAACTTACAAATAGCTCCTTAAAAAGTCCTACTTGCTTTCTAAGCTGTTGTTGCTTCCCTGAGATACATTTCTTGTGGAGTGGCACCAACATCTTCCCCTTATATCAGCACTTCTTGTGATCCCGGTGTCATTTTCTCCTGCAGTCATTTATCCATTTTTTGCTGGCCTGCTGGAATATTTCCCCAGCCCACCAAACCAAACTATTTTTAGAAAATCTTACTGTATTAATGCAGGATAGATGTACTCTGGTCATTCTGTAAAAAAAACATGGGTGGGCACATGCAAAGTGTCAGGTACAGTGCAGAACAAAAATCTCCTAATCCCCTAACTCTTTGCTATTCATTATTATTTCACAGGGCAGCCGTCCCAAATACATAAGGCCCTTACCCTGCTCAGCCCAGTCTGCCAAGCTCCAACTCTGGGTTTGATGTTTCTCCAACATCCAACAAGCTATGATTATTTCATTCCTTTTTTTAACATAACACATCAATTATTCAACCTTTGCTAGACCAGATTTGATTTTTTTGATTTAACAAAAATGACTGCGTGTGTGTGTGTGTGTGTGTGTGTGTGTGTGTGTGTGTGTGTGTGTGTGTGTGTGTGTGTGTGTGTGTATACAGTATGTGTGCTTCCACCCATCTAGGGGGAGACTGAATATAAAATGTTCCGCAAAGATAATACCTCATGCCTTAGATGAGTGATGGATGGTGAAGAGGGTGGAGTAGAAGAAGAAAAAAAATGCAAGTACTCTGGAATAAATGATAACTGCATTAGCATAGGATAGCAAATGCTCCCTTCACTCAGAGAATAAATTGCCTCCCATCCTCATGGCAAGCTGTCCACACAACAAGTGTAACTGTGACAGTGGACAGTGTGTGTATGCGTGTCTCTATGTGTGCAAGTGACTTTTCTTGTGCTAATTCCACTCAAGTGCAGCACTGCTGTAGCTGCACTGCAACGCGCATAAAAAGAGATTAGAATATTACACATTGACACAAATCCATTACCTCCAGCTTCTGCAATGCAATTAAGTCATTTCAAATACCCATTGGGTAGCAATAGTAAACTTTTTACTGTATCAATGTGATGAAGTCCTAAAATGTATAACTTTTCCCTACAGCATTTCATTGTTAAATTAATTAGCTTGCGATGTACAAGTCTCTCATTAATTCATACCTTTACAAAAATTCTTCCTTTATCCTTTGGCCTCATTTCCTCTCTCACTCCGCCTTTCCCTCTCTCTGTCTCTCTCTGTCTCTGTCTTTCTCTTCCTCCCCTGCCATTCCTCTCCTCTCCTTACATCCTCATTGCTGCTAATGAGCCCACTTAAATCTATGCCAAAACACAAACAGCAAGAGAAGAAGAAATAGGTGCAGTGCTTACTGGAAGCTCTGTTTGTTAAAGGATTCATCATGTGCGCTGTTTTCAATAAATAATAAATGCAAACGCTGACTTTTGTCTGCAGACGAGACTTCAGGACATGAATTATGCATTGTTATTCCTGGATAGGGCAATACAGGGACAGGGTGGCAGTATGTTGTGTGTGTATGAGTGTGTGTGTATGACTGTGTGTGTACATGTGGTAGATCCCTGGTACAGGCTGGGAATACAGTTTCTGAGTCTTGCAATCAAGGCCCTTATGTGGACACAACTCACAGTGATTACAACTCTTAAGACATTGTTTTGTGTGCAAATACATCTTTGTTAAGCTCCCGGAAGTTCATCTTGACTTTGTGTTCAAACTTAACTCAAAGAGATCAAAAACTGCACTGTTCAATTACTATCATTAGCTCATCAAGTCTTTATATTGGTTGAATGACGAAAAGCAGGATGTGTGTGTGTGTGTGTGTGTGTGTGTGTGTGTGAGTGTGTGTGTGCGTTTTCACTCTCCTGTCCTGTGTGTAGGAGGTGTGTGAGGTGGCCCTCCCAGCACATTTTGTGTTTACAGTGTTTTTCCATTTGATCTCTACTCTCTCCCTTCTCCTCCTCTCTTTTCCTGCTTTTTCCTACTCTGTAATCATTACGACAACAAAGGAAGCCACGTTCCCGCTAGACAGTGCAAAGGTTCCACTAGCCATGCTAAAATGTACGTGTGTTTTTTTTTTTTTCTATCTGCTTTTCGTTCTCTTGTCAGCGTGGAACATGAGTGGAAAACTTGATTGAAAATCAGGAAAAAAGGGAATAATTATAAAGGGGGAGAAAGGCACCCATCCGCCCGCGACAGCAATCATCGGTGATCTCTGCTGTCATTTCACTCTGCAGTAAATAAATCATCAAAAGAAACAAAGGGGAAACAAATATGCAAATAAACCCCAAAAAGGCCAGTAACATCGGCCTACCGCCACATGGGAAGAATAGTAGTGGATTATTATCATGGCAGGTTATGACTGTAATGAATCTGATTTCCTCTTGTTTCATCTACCTTGACAGTACTGAAGTCACATACACAGAGAGGGAAAAAAAACCTGAAGGGATTTGACGGTTTGATTGAGGAGGGAAGGGAAGGGAGGGAGGGATGGAGGGATTAAGGACAAGGGGAATGGAAGGATTGAGGGAGGGGGAAGGAAAGGCAGGGAAGAGGGGCAGTCGACATCGGAGGGGAGAAGAAAGAGATTTGGGAGGGGAAGGGAGGAAAGGAGGGAGGGAAGCTTTTGAGGTTGTATTCGACAGTGCTGTGAAAGGTAGCCATCAAGGGCTTTGATGAAAAGTGCAGGCCTTCTAAAGCTTAGGAGTGACAGCATATGATTTGGTCAAAGCATGAAGCTTTTCAAAGGTAGACATTCTCACTCCTATTCATCTCTCTCGGGTTGAATATAACTTTTGGGCTGAGCTCTAGCAAAATTCCGAATTGGTTTGACAGATAGACTGCATGTGGTATTGTCCCTGTGACTTACAGACAGTAGGCTGGCTGAAAATGTAGACATCCTGAAATGAAGGGGGATTACATGTAATGTTTCAACAAACTGTCCTAGATCAGGAGCTATGCTGAAAGCCACATTTAAAAAAAAAAAAAATTTTATCAAGGAAGTGACACAAAATGCGTAATTCTATATGCCTAGAAGAAACCTCATTATCTTTGCCCTTGGTTCTTCAATGGTAGCCATATAAAAGTATAACAGCTATGCATGAAATCATGTGTGAGCATGTTTGATTGACAAAGTCCAAAAAACCTGCCTGTTAAAACATTCAGCTGCCCAGAAAACCCATCTTAATTCTATTTTAAGCAAGAAAAACACTGGAATTAAATGCATTTCACACACTATGAAATCAGCTTTTTCCACCCTTCATGCCACAAACACACTTCTTATGGCTGTTATATGTGTTTTCTACATTTGGTAACACCTTAACACATGGCCACTGCTGCGAATAGTTCTCTTTGAGTGGTGCTTGAGGCTTATTAGCCGCTTGG